AACAACCTCCACTGAATCACAGACAGAACAGAAGAAAAGCATCAAGTATGCTTAAATAAGGAACAGTAAAACATTTTCCTCCCTTCGTGAACTAAAGCAATTTCCTCCTCTAGCATTTAAATTCCCTCCTTTGACAAACAATAGTAATATTTTTGCCCCAAAGCATCTGAACAGTAATAAGATGTGTCATTATTGATAGATTATCTCTTATGTAAATATGAAAGTGTCATTTATCTACTGGTGGGATAAATATATGCTACACTAAGTAGTGTCAGTGTGTATCATTCTTCCCCTGCAACTACTTGTGACCAAATGGCCCTGATAAGGATGAACTGCATGTGGGCAAACAGCACCACAGGAATTTACCAACATGAGAATCCAACAAAAAGCTTCTTGTTCTGGGGAAAGGGGGATGGTGCACACACAGCATAAGTTTATAGTTTAAATAGGAATGAGGACATCTCTTAGATGATAATATAAAATATCAGTGGGCAACAAAACAAGATTAAAGAGCTAATCTAACACTGGGTCAAGACAATACTGGGCTTTGTTTAGGATAGAAGTGCAGAGAGCTTCAGCTGTGGGGTGGTACAGTAATTAAATTAAGTCAGCTAAAATTTTTGTAACATGGACTATTTAATATTTTCTATTTTTTAAAGAAAATTAAGAATAAGAATGAAGTTTTACTTGTCTTAACTTAGGGGAAAAATATAAATGATTAATTATTTCTAATAAATGAAAACGAATGCATTACTGTTCTGAATGTGGAAGTAGTATTTGCCAAACTGTGATAATTTTAAGAGTGAAGCACATGGAGATGTTCCCTACGGTGACATCCACTCTGAGCAGATGTTTCTGTTCATAGTCAACAATTTTGTCAGTACAGAATGGGGCACTTTGTAAAAGAACTGGAAATTGAGAAGATTGAAAGATGCATTTTATTTTCCACTGGAGTACAGGCAGAGAATAACTGCAAATCAAGCTCTGTAAATGAATCTGAAGAGTTGAGTACCAAGGCTGACCACCCAACTTGCACAATTTTCAATTCCTTTCAAGCCAGTTGCACAAAAAAATAAAGGTCTTATTCAGTAATTTCTTTAAGAAATTGAGTTGAGTAATTTATGGCCTTATGTAAGATCGTTTTGGACATGTGGTGGTTTTGTTGGTTTTTTTTTAACATTTACTGCTGAAGGGAATGTCAAAGTTCTCCAGCTGCCTCTTTTAATTGTCAGAGAAAACAAAAAGTATACTTTGATTATATATTCAAATATATAATCTAATAACTTATATATAAGTTATATATAAGTTTTATATGTGAGCCAAAGATAAGAATACTTCAACAAAGATATTTCAGCTAGGAAACTTTGTAACATGAACAGTTTTAAATTCCTATTTAAAAAAGAAGAAAAATTAACCTGCCTTGCACAATCCACAAGATGGTTTTGTTTACCTATCTTTGTTTATTTTTATTCAGAAATAAGTGGCTGCCTTTGGGCCCTTTCCTGGTTTCATCTAACCAGAGAAAGTAGAACTTGTTAATGATTTCAGTGGTATCAGTTATTTTCCAGATGGTGGGATCATAGGTTCATTCAGAACACTTGAAATGGACCAGTGAATTTAGGTCTTATTTAGGAGTTTTGAAGACAACAGAATGTTTTAGTATTACCCATTCCCTCCTTCCTGGTTGTTGATGACTGATAGAGGATCAGCAAGAGCTATTTTGTTTCTATATCATAGTTTGCTAACCTGTGCAACCCTGACCCTCTCCAAATGCTACAAGAACAAGGGTGGACACTTCTAGTGGGCAAAGGCTATTGGAGACTCAGCAGGCAAGAAATAAGGAAATAGTCAGAAATCAGTGTCAGGAACTAGAAGGCAATGGGGAGGTGACAGAACCAACATCATTAAGTCAGAGGGCAATGGCCACTATGCCACAGAAGTTTGTCCATGGCAGCAGTGACTAAAGAAGTTCTGATCAAAACAGAGAGGATCAGAAGCACAGGGTAAGAGGTTGAACAGAAAAGGAAGTCATCACTGTCCAGTCAGGGAAGCTATTGAAAGGGATACCAGGCTTGTGGGAGAGAACAAAGATGGGTGTTCTTCAAAGATTTGAAGATTTCAAATCCTAGAAGCTTAGTCTGGTTAAGTGTTACAGCAAAAGATGATACTGAATCTAATGGATGCTTGATTCTACTTCAGAAAACTCTAACATCGTTGAAAGAGTTAAGAATTACTCAGACAATCTGCAGGGGAGATTGGGCAGCCTAGCTAGAATGCAGCACTGTTCCCAAGCCCTTGCCAATGGTAGGTTGCTAGATTTCCAGCAGAGATAAATTTTGGTGAGAGTTGTGTGAGCCCAAATGGAAAGAATGGCTATCTGAATACTAGTGAAGACAGGCATTTTCAGGCAAGGAGAAAAGAAGGGAAGCATAGATACAGATCCTTTCAGAAAGGGCAAATACCTTCAGGGAATGATGACTGCAGGAAAATTATAAAATTGTAGCACAAGAGAAATAGTTAATGTAATATTATAAAACCTCATGTTCTACAATAGCATTTTCCCCCGGGGGAGCTGTGAAAAGCAACTAATTAATATTTTAGAGGAGAGCCCAGTTATGACATTATCAAATCTCTAGGAGGATCCTTGTGCATTAAATGTTAGGGAGATCTGTGAAGCAATCTGTATGGATTGCTCTTTGATTGCTCTTTGTACATATTCATGTTTTCTGTAGGACAGATGCATGGTCTTGGATTTATTGGCCACTAGGAATAGCTTAAACTGAAGCAATAATCAGTGGGTCTTTCAACTGTGCATTATTAGAAAATTAATTTACTGCTCAGAACTTGTTAGTCTTATTATTATTCCACAGATGATTGTTTATGCTTTTGATATTTTGAAAACAGTGAATAACTTTTAGCTTGCTTTTTAATATGTCAATTCCGTACCCACTTATTTGGGAGTAAGGCCTACTAGTTGCATTGGGACTTGTCTCTGAAGAGATAAATATAGGAGTGCACTGTGAATGTAGGAGTGCAACTACAACAATTTCACAAAAAAGATTTCAAAATTGAATACTGTGTATGTGTAAGAAAAAGTATTATTGTCACATCATGATAACTTGTCCTGTAGTAATTGCTTTGGGGAACTGTTTCATTTAGTGCAGTACTATAAAGACAGCTCCACAACTTTCATTTTCAGAGCCCACTGCATATCTGGGAAGTGTTGAAGTATCTCAATATTCCTGAGTAGATCTCAGGATTTAGGCAAAACTGAAATTCAGATGCAGTAAAGATTCTCTAGGCATTCAATTATAAATATGCCAGAGAGAGAAAACTAAACAAAAAGTCCCTGTCTTTAAACAGCATGCCCTAAAAGATTCCCGATTTTAAAATAGTTGTCTCATATTTTACTTCAGTTTCTTTAGCTCATGCAACTGCCTGTGTGAAAAACTTCTTGGAGCTGACGTTTATTATCAACCCACAAAGCCTCTGGCAAAATGACAGGCTTGGTCAGTTGCCATAGGCTCCTCACTCCAGACTCCCTTTCCTTGCAATCCTCTTGTATTCACAACAGTCACAAAAATGCATATTTTCCCTACATCCCAACCAAACATATCCACATTTTATAAACTCTCTCAGGGTCACCCTGTACATCTCTGTGGCCACACTGATCTTCAAGATGTTCCAGACATGATTTCCTCACTTAACATCCTGATTGGCTCTGATAAAGAAAAGTAAGGGAAGTAGTAAAGGAAAGAGATGAACTGTGAATATAAATGGCAATAAGGAGGCTGGATTAAAGACTATGAACAATACTATATACTCATGATGTGGTTGAAGCATGGCTTCTTCCTCAGAGCCATCACAACAATAAGCAGCTTCCGCCTTTCCCTACCTAATTATGTGTGGAAAAGAAAATTTACTCTATTCTCACTTTCTCTTTCTCCCTTAATTTTTGTTAGGCAGGACAATAACTTTCACATTTGCCACCCCTACTGGAAGTAGTCAGTGGATGCGCGCACAGAAATTAGAAGTGTGAGACTGGTGGCCATGGATAGCGAAGTAAAAGTGGTAGAAAGATGTGTGTATGTGGTTGTTGCTTCCCCTTTTGCTTTTCCCTGTACAGATCCTCCACCTTAGGTTTGTGCATGACTGCTGTCGAACACATACAATGAAGGGGGAACCCCTGAGTATCTTCCTTTGTTTCCTTTGCTTTGGAAAAGATGCAGCTAAGAAATTCAGACTCCTGAAGTTCCATGAACAGCTGGGGCCCCTTTTAGGAGGCCTACCCTCGGGGCCATTTATGGTGCCCCTGTGTATGCTGGAACTTTTATTTTGCCTATGAGTAGCCCCATTTTGCTTCTGAAAGCATCAGGAGAGGGCAGTTGATCACTCCGTATTAGAGGAAACTGTGTTGTACATGCAAGGGACTGAGATTTTCCTCAAAACATGTTTCCACCCAAATGTTTTACAACACTGGGTGGCTGAAGGATAAAAACAAATATTGGAAGAGTTGATTGAATTTAGTTGAATTTTTGCTAAGCAGAATTATGTCTGACAATTCTATATGTGCTTACTCAGACACACGTTCCTTGAGCTCAGTGAGACTGACATTTAGGGATTGACTTTTAGATAAGTAGTTATATGATTGCAGCCTCCATTTCCTTATATTTCACTGCCCAAAGAATAAGAATGGGATAGGTGAGTGTGTGCATTTACCTTGCTAACTCGTGTTAATAGGTTCTTCAGACTGTGATGGACATTTTCATAGGCTGTAGAATGTGGTTTGAAACAGTTTTGGTGATTATTTGATGATATCACAGAACTGAAAATAACAGTAGAAAAACAATATGAAATAGTGATCATTAAAGTAGCTCAATTGTAATGGAAGAGCATGGAGTCTTTATTTCCTTTAATGCATTTTGTATGACAGTTGATACTACCCATAGCAAAACAGTTGCTAAAATTATTATTTAAAGCTCTCCTTTTACTTTTTACAGATACATTACATGGAGTTTGGAACATCTTGGGCTACCCAGTTCATTCAGATGAAGTAGATGAATCCCCTACAGATTCTGAACCAACACATGATGAACCCTGCACAGCAACCCCTGAGGAAGAGTCTTCAGAATTCATAATTGTAGACCCTTTCTACCCATTTGTTGAGGAGGAGGAGGAAGACTGTGAGAATACTACTGATGTCACAACTCCCCCAGCTTTGCAGTTTATCAATGGAAAGCACCAGGTGACTACTGCACCAAGGGATACAAAAGCTGAAGAAGCAAGGAGTGACCAGATTGAAAGCTTAGCACACTCCAAAAATGTTACCTTTTCACACATCAATGATACTAACTTGATTTCTGAGAATGAGGTCTCTACTCCAAAGCAGCCAAATGAATCCACTGAAGTGATAGGAGAAACTGTAGTTACACAAAAGCTAATGTCAGAGCTTACCATGACAGAACTTATTTCTAGTGGGGATTCAGATGTTTCTGTTAGAGATAAAATCTTTGAAATAACATCTCTGCATAGCGAGTCCTCAGACACAACAGAAAAATCAACACAATCTGGTACAGATTTTAATGAAATCTTAAGTAAACACCATCACATTTTCTCTTTAATTAGTTCAGAACACTCAGGAGATTTCACTACCAAGACTGATTTAAACACACATGCCTTTTCACATACAACCGAGACAACTCCAAAAGAAGATTCTAAAACATTTTCTTCTACAAGTTTTGCTTCAAGTTGGATACATCCTTATATCACTGTACCCCCAGGCAGGGAAGAAAACACAGTGTCAGAAAATGATGTTTCTATTCTACAGGATGGGTATAAATCAACAATTAAATCTGATATACTTCCTTCTGCTGAAAGTTTATTGGAAAGAACTAGAACTCCTATTTCACTCTATGTACCAGAAGGCTCTGGAAATACTCAAGAGAATGCTGAATCTACCAGTGAATCTGAATCTACAATAAAAACAGCAGGGACAGAAAAAATTCATGTCCAGGAAATTTTCTCAGATGCTGACAAGCAAATTCCTACCAAAACTACCCCAAGTTTCTCACAGCCTCCTAATTTATTGTATAAGGAGACTAGTTCTACACTTAAACAAAGTTACATAGAAGCTACTACTACCCAGTCTTTTACTGAATTAATTTTAAGCTCTATGAAAAATACATCAGAAGCAGAGGAGAATATAGAAGAGGTTGAAAGTACCATTTCCTCAGCTAATGAATATTCAACTACTGTTCAGACTGAAAATTTGTTGTTTAGTAATGACTCTGCAAGCTTTAGTAATGATATCGGAGTGGTAAACCAAGAATCCATAATCACATCAGGGACAGATGTTCCATCTCTTAAAACTGAGGAGGCCACAGAAAAGAGACTGCCCATAGATGAAGAATCTGGGGATGGGTCTACAGATGCTTGGATGTATCCTGGCAGAGACATACTTTGGGGGGGTCCCACAAGTAAAGTGGTAAGTACTGACTCCTCATTTATAGATCCAGGCTCTGGAGAAGTTGATGTGACTCAAGCTACTACATTCACTTCATTCTCATTGCAGTCCGGACCTCAAAGCACTGAGAAACAAGTACAGGAGATAGACACCCTTAGCAGGGATGTATCACTTTTGAAATACTCAGTAACGGTTGAGCCTACAATGCCAGTGCTGGATACTGAATCACATGGGGAGGGGATGGAAACCAGAACAGAAAGTGAAGTACCAAAGAATGTAACTGATCACCAAGGAGCACTACAAGAATTAGGCACAGTCGTATTGTCAGTTAGTGAAAAGTCTATTGGAGAATCTGCTGAAGAAGTGATAATATCTTCTACAGCAAAAGAAGAAAACATGGACTTATTTGAGACTTCTGGTGTGACAGCATCTGTTGAATCTTCAACACACTTTGCCCCTGACATCATTGTGACTGATGGCATCAAAAGCATAAAGCCAGTAACTGAATTAAGTGAAAGTAGAAGCACTGTAATAATTTCTCCCAGTGTTCCTACAGTATTGAAAGATAGCATGGTCTCACAAGAAGAAGGCTCTCCATTTATGATAAATGATACAATAAACTCTGCTCAACCAGAAAGCACAACTCATCTTTCTCCAACCACTTTTGCAGAGAAACTTGAGCTTGCAGATGTGGGTTCTGGAGGGGAATCAAAAGATGGCAAAAGTGGTATAGCACTAGTGCCTCATGGTCCATCAGAAAGAGTAATTAATACTGAACTCCCATTTATTGAAGATGGTTCTGGAGACAAGGGCTCTTTTACAGATCCTCTGATACAAACCACAGTTCCATCACAATTACTGGTAGAAATGCCTGGAACTCAGACAGTAAAAGATGAAAACCAACACAGCAGCATGACATCTAGGTATCAGGTGTATACAGATGCACCTGCAAAGTTAGACATAGGTAGTACCTCTACGATCACCTTAACAAATACAGGGATTAGAAGAAAGGTACCAAATATGGATCAGGAAACACTTGCTGAATTGGAAACAAGAGGTTTACCTACAATTCTTCCTTTAGAACATGAAGTGAATTCTGATAATGAAGGTGCAGCTGAAATATCAGGGGATATGGTACAGACACCTGACGTGGTAAGACAATATTTTGTAAAAGGTACAGAATCTATAACTAAACAAGCTGAGATTTTAAGTGGATCTACATTTTCTCCATATGTAGAAGAAATAACATTTCAAGTTACATCTGATACTGAATCATATAGTAAAACCCTCACAACAGAATCTGAAACATTTCAAAACAAAGCTGTAAGTACTTCATCAACGATTGCAGAGAAAGAAGAATGGTTGGTAGAAAATGTTCATCCTACTGAAGATAGCCACAAACCTCTTTCTGTTTCTACACCGTATGAGCCAACAAGCATGCCAATCATTAATGCTCCCTTTTTTTCAGAACAAGGTTCTGGAGATGTGTTATTCACAGATCAATCAGCCATTGTACATGCAAGTTCTACTACAGTAAAAGAAAGCACAAGCACATTCAATTATGATATTCTTCATCCTAAGAGTTCAGAAGCCACATTTGCAGTGGAAGGAATTAAAGAATTTGACAGACACACATCTGACTCAAGTGACGATTCAGACAATGAAATCCAATATCCACATACTGTAGCAGATGCATTTTCTGCAACAAGTCACAAAACAGTAACTACTGCATCTACCCTGGATGTGTGGGTCACTGACACTGAAGCATCCACCATAAAGCAGCTTGTTTCTGAACATTATTCCAAACAAGAAAATAGCAGTCAAGAGGAAGAAAAGATAACATCATCAACAGCAGCTGTCACTGATAGAATTTCCCAAGGGCAAGCCTCACATGTGATGAAGCATGAAGATACAACTCCTGTTTCTGAATTATTCACAGGAAAGCCTACTCCTAGAACAGTTAAAGCACCTGCAACCACCTCAGAACCCAATATGCTGACTGTAAAATATCATGAAGGTTCTGGGGAAGGTTCTGGTTGGCTGGACATTGCAGGAAAACATTCGGAATCACCTACCCAGTTGCCAGAAAGGGAACAATCATTTGCATCTCAGAGCTCAGGTGAAAAGAATTCAGAGGTCATGAAACCAGATCTAGCAGTGAATGGAACGCAGATGGTGCCAGTATCATCACCCATCTTTAGAGAAGAAAAGCAAACGCGACCAACTTCAGAGAGTGACTTTTCAGAGACATTTGCAGATGAAAGTTCCACAAACAGCTTAAAAGACTATGAAGAACTTATACCAATTATTGATGAAAAAAGGAATTATTCTGGAGATAAACCAAGCCTTATTGATGTAATTGGAGAAGGCCATGGAATAATATCTGATGAAACAACCATTATAGATGTTGATAACCTGAAGTCAGATATTGAAGATATAAGTGGCCAAATGACTGTGAGTCCCGAAAGCTACTCAGAGTATGGTATTTATACTTTAACCATGGAAATTCAGCATACAACACCTGACAATACTTTAACTGATGATAAATCTGACAGTTTTGGAGACGGAAGTTCTGGAACAAGTCAAGTCATATACAGTGAACCCACAATATCTGAAAAGTCAGTAACAGCAGATGACACAGGCTCAGGAGATGCCATACTTCCCACAGCAGATACCACCATCTCTCAAGAGGTTCCTAAAACAGCCACTTTCCTTCCAACCACACCACTTTTCATCAGCCCTATGATATCTTTTCCCATCAGTTCCAAAGCTGATGAAAAGGACAAAGAACTAGAGTTTGAAACTAAACATACAGAATCTACAAAGACAATAGAAGACAACTTTGAATTACAAACATTGTCAGACAATCAAACAATGATCGAGGAAAGAAAATTGGATTCCACCACCAGCACTTTGGTCAAAGAGCAAGTAGAAATGCATGAAAAAGAGTATGTTGCTCCTTCCCCTACAACACCACAGCTACCTGTTAAAATAGATCAAGCTTCGACAACACACAAGTATGGAGAAAGCACTGTCTCCCAAAGTTCAATGATGCCTGAAAAAACAAGTCATGACACTTTTGAAGGAATGCGAACTTTAGCCACAGCATTAATAGAACCAGATCCAAAAGCATTACTTCTTACAACTGAGCCCCCCAAATCACCTGTGACTGTCTATTTACTCAAGAAAGTTTCTGAATACCCTGAAGAAATCATGCCAAGCACTTCATCATCCACTGATTCAGATAAGAGCAGTTTTTCAGAAATACAAACCTTTAAAGAAGCTAGTGCCGACATGGCAGCAACTTACAAACCTGCCATGAATCAGTCTTCAGAGATTTCGTTATCATCCTCATCTGAGTTGGAAGTAGAGAGCAAGATCACTGAAAGCACAACTGTTTCCAGTTGGCAGATAACAGAAATTAAAGAAGGGCCAACAGAAATGACAGTTGCAGAAGAAACCATCATTTCCAGAGACCCATTATCAAGAGAAGCTAAACCAACCATTACAACTATAGAAGTTAGCTCAGAAGAAGGAACCTCTCACGAGAAGGTAAAGGAACTAGATCACTCAGATGAAAATAGTGCAGAGGGAGCCTTGCCTTGGATACATACCACAGCTCCATCTATTCCACATGAGAGTAAAACAGGTGGCGTATTTGGTGTTGATGGGAAAGCTGATGCTTGGCCTATTTCATCCCCACCATCTATGGATACAACTGTGGAGCTCCAGACTGAGCAAGAGCCAGTAACAATTTCCTCTAATGCTGCAACTAAAAGCCCAGGGCCCGAAAGCATTCCTGATTATAACGAACAGACAAGGAACACTGAGGATATGAGCACAAATGAACTTGTAACTCTGCCATTTTTACTTCCGGATGTTACTAATGGATCAGATTTCCTAGTTGCCACAGGTGGGGGTTCGGTGGAAGGCACAGCGGTTCAGATACCAGGTAAGAACTAAATTGTCTAAGTGTATCCTTCTCCCTTCTGAAATGGTATGTGCTCTTCATCTGAACACATTTGCCAGGAGTGTTTGTTTGTTTGTTTTTCCTTTGTAAATATTTGAAAACTATGAAAGCAGTAACTTTAGGTCGCACAGCACATTTCTTTCTTGGTGTTTGCAATCTCTGCCATTGTTTGGCATATAGACCCATAGACAAGTGTGATATGTGAACTGGATGATTGAAGGTATGGCCATCCGCAGTTCCTTTAATCACAATAGCCATATCCCCAGGAATTATGGCTGAATGTATCTGGTTTGGCTGATTCACATGTTACAGTAGTCCATTCATATCTGGATCCAGAAGGATTCAGGAGTGTAACTGATTATGCAACCTTGATTATATAGGTACATAGTTTAAAAGTAGTAACAGAAGAGCAAGCATATATTAGACAACCTTCTAAGATTTTTGTAATATTTTCTAACAATATTTATATATGAATTGGCATGCCGGTGTGCAAAAGGGAACTGTATAACCATTTTTGTGGGATTCATATTTGCATTCTGATCCTGGGATCCAAGCCATTCACAGCTAAGCTCAGAGGTAGATAACAATTCTCTCCCTGCCTTCCCATTTCTGCACTGGTTCACTTGTTTAATAAGTTACCCATGTGCAGTGTGGGTCAGTGAGGGGCTGTGCCCAGAACTGTTGTTTCACATATGCAAAGCTCCTGCTGTTAAAGGATACCTGATAGCTTGATTGAATTTCTAGTATTGTTTGTGTGAGCACTTGTTTCTGAAACGTTGATGGATTGAGTGGGCTCTTGATCTAAAGACCATAGAGTATTTGCTGTCTTTTTTTAAAGTATGAATGTTCATCAGGTTTTCTTTAGATTTTTTACAAGTTAAAATTAACAAACTTAATAGAAAATCTTCCATTCCTGGCTTTTATATGAAACTTATGAGGAAACAGCACAAAACTCATATGCCTAGTGCACAGAATCTTTCTCCTGTTTGTGATTAAATATGGAATGAAGGCATTCTGGGACAAGATGTATTCCCTCCTGACAGGATGAATTCACATGACTACTTGATGTTTGAATGTTGTTTTCTTTGTCGTGAAAAGTCTTCGTGTATGACAGTGACATGCCATGGATATTCCATTTAACTATAGCTTTCAGATGTAAAAGAAGAATATATGAAACTCTAACCTTAATGGTTTCCCATGGCATATTAAAAAAGCATATATGTTTTTTAAGCTGCAATAGTTTCACTAAATGGTTTTAAATAGTACTCACAACAGTTTCTCGTTATATAATATATGTATATGAGGGACTGGACCAGATTCCATATATGACATACAGTACCAAAATTAGTTTGCTGTACCATTGTTTTTCATTTAAAATAATATAAGACCTCTAGGTATTTATGTTAAGTATGGTTTGAAGATATTTGGCCTCTCAGTTAGCCCTTTAATAAATTAATAAAGAAATAGAATGACCATATAATTTGGTGGAAAGCAAATGACAGTATGAAATGAATGTTTGTGGGTATTCAGTGGTCGCAAATAATGTACAGAAAGATGGTAAAGAAGTATGGCATAAAATGCATGTTCTGTGTAGCCAGTCATTCCACATAAACTAACCCTGTCCAGATAAATGCATATTTCATTCACTGTGCACACATGTTTTAACTGTTTTCAGCTATAATTGTCATGTCATGCCAACTAAAACCTCAATAAAATGTCACAGTTGCCAAAAACAATAGAAAATGTCATTAGAAGAAAATGAAATATTGCTGAAAATAAATTGTTTTCACCAGTGAGTAAAGTTGCATTGCCAACATAGAAAACGGATGTTTGATTTACTATTATTGCAGCATATGGGGTCGGGGTGGGGCATTTCTCTGCACCTGCAACAGCAACAAGTTGGACAATATTAGCTACGAAGTGGGAAACATTCTTCTATTTAATGGAGTCAGAACCAACCATCACTTCTAGTAAATACTGCAACATTCAATGAACTCATTTTGCAGGCCAAGATCCATGCAAAAGCAATCCATGTCTGCATGGGGGCACTTGCTATCCACGCGACTCTTTCTACATCTGCACTTGTATGCCGGGTTTCAGTGGTGACCAGTGTGAAGTAGGTAAGAAGCAATTGCTTTGCCAGCATTTGACTTCCCGATTGTTCAATGTACAGATGGGGAGATGTTGTATTACAGCAAGGCTTCAAGAAGTTCCAGACTGGATTTGAGTGTGAGAATGAGTCTGCATGTTCCTGAGCAGTTAGATGAATGCTCACCAGTTGTATCCCCATGTGCTGAAGCAGGTAGACAACACTTGCTCGCTCCCTGGAGGTGTGCATGTTCAGTTTGCCCAGCAAAAGCAGTATGTGTATGGGAATAAGTTTGCATGTGCTAATGTGTTCTGCTGAATAGAAAAAGCTGTGTAAAAGATGATAGTGTAGGAACTATGCCTTCTTCTCCTGAAAGACAACATTCTAAGGTTGCTACCCCAGAATATGCGTCAGCACTGGAAGAAGAAGCAGGATCATAATACTTAGCTCAAATGGCAAGAACACCCAATCCAGCAAAAAGCCAAGAGACTGGTGAGGAGCAGACTAGTCTGGTTTGGTGAGATACCCTGCTGAACAGGCTGAATCATTGTTTGGTGTCAGATCAAAAAATCAGACCAATTAAGCAGTGCCTACCATCCCTGGCCTCTGGCCCACGAGCAGCAGAAACCTCTTTGAGTTTGGGGGTAACTCCTTCTGGTTGAGAGGTGCAAAGAAGGATCTAGTTTGGAATCAATTTCTGTATTTTCTAATAGTTGGTATCCTACCTTGGCTGGTATCTTTTGTAAATTACTTTTGCAATATCACAGATGTGCCTCGCTGGCCAATTTTAACAATGAAGATTATAATCAGAATTCTCTTTCTTAATATGTTTAGAAGGAAAGCATGTTGGTGGTAAGGGAACCGGGGACCAGCTTCCAACAGATAGTATCAAAAAGGGCCATGCAACATGCATTATATTATATGGTTTTCTGCGTGGCACAGGTAATGTGTGTCTATGGGATAAGGAGTTTATATTTAGCTTTTTTCTTATCTTTTCCCTGGATAACATAAGACCAAGATCATCCTAAAAGTTCAAGTGGAAAGTTTCTACATGGAAAATGTGTAGAAATAGTCATGGATATCAGTATCTCAATTACTAGATGGATGAGGATCAAAGACTGAACCTGACTGAGAGATTTATAAATCACATTGGTAGAACTGTGAAGCTAGGAAGACTATTATATTTATTTATTTTTAAATTTCTATAGCATCCATTACCCAGAATGGCTTTTTATAGCACTGTGGAGAAGATTCATTCACTTCAAAATACTCATAACCTTCACAACTTCCACTCAAAGTCCACCATGCCATCCTGATCTACTGAGCATATATTCAAGAGAAGCTTTGTGTGGCTGTTAGCTAATGTGAATGAATGTTTGTCAGCAGCATGGAGGCAGAAACCCCACAATAGTGGGCTACGGGAAGAACTAGTTTATAGCTATTCAATCAGCCAGTATATTTAAGATTCCCACTGTTTGGCATTCTCTTTTAGAAAGTGCACATAATTGGCTTCTTTTGCATGGACAGAAGACCTTAGAAAAGGTCTAAGATGACTGGAACTAGGTATCAGTCTGTATAGTCATTAATGAAATGTATGCATTGCGAATACAGAAGTTCACTATCCCATGGTCACAGATTAGAACCAATTAGACACGTTCAAGGGTGTTAATTATCCAGTTTATTCATTCATTTTTAAAGAATATCTACAATACTCTTTCCCATTAACAAGTTGTGTTAGGTAGAGACTGAGAATAGAGGTTAGCAGCCATACCTGATAATTCCAGAAAGTCATGCAAGTTAAGTTCTGCAAAAGTGCAGGTATGTATATTTATTCAGAGGTATTATTTTAGAATTCTACCTAGTGTTGTATATAAAAGTTGAAGAAAATGCTTAAGTTCTTATGTATTATAATGCATGAAGCCAGTTAATGGATTCTTTTCATCTGACATGGTTAACATATACAGCTGTTCTTTTATTTTGCAAAGAAGGACTTCTGTTTTTAAAACTTTTGTGATGTTCTTGGACAGATGTGGATGAATGTCAATCCAGCCCTTGCAGAAATGGAGCCACATGCATCGATGGTGTCAACACATTTACTTGCCTTTGCCTTCCAAGTTACGTTGGGGCTCTTTGTGAAAAGGGTGAGTGAACTATTTCAGATTTATAAGTAACTCAGTCCACATAAAAATGTAACCAACTATTCAAATTTGGCAACAAATCCATCCTCCATTGGGATGGAATGAATACATTTCCCTTACTTAATTGCAAACATTTTAACTGTGTCTTTCTTTAAAACAGATTCCAGGGTGCTTTGCAGTAAAAGATTAACATCTGCATTGTACAGAGAGGCAGCAAATAAAACCACCAAAATGAACTCAGATACATTATATTTAGGTTTTAAAGGCAGGAAAAATAAAAAGGGAGCATCCTTTTTGTTAGCTTTTATTTTCCATCACTTGTATTCTGGGTTATTCTTTCCTCTTGATAAAGTCATAACTAAAAATATTAATAAATAATAGCTTTTGTAGTTCCTGATAGAGGTGGAATTTTGGAAAATGTTATCAGAAGCTTGACTTGGCTTGACTTCCTGGCTTCTTCTCACAAACATATAGTTTAAGACTTAAAGTGGAAAGATTCTTGCTGAAGCTTCCCTGAGGTTAAAAGGAATTGCATTCCAAGATTGTTTTAGCTACACAGCATGTTTCCTTTTGCAATTCTAGCAATGATAAATGACCTGGAATTAGGAGTAAGCAGGGAAGTGGCCATGTTTGCTAATGACACCAAACTATTTAGGGTGGTTAATATGAAACGGGACTGAGAGGAGCTCCAAAAAGATATCTCCAAGATGGGAGAATAGGCATTGAAATAGCAAATGTGTAAAGAAATCTCTGTAGGGGTGAACATTTCTAACTTCAATCCCCTAGGTTGATGGGATCTGAGTCAGCAGTGGCTGATGGCTATTGATCTTGGGGCATGAGGAACATGGATAGCTTGATTAAAATTTTGACACAGTGCTCAGCTGCTGTGAAAAAGGCGAATTCCATGTTGGGCATAATTAGGAAAGAAAATGAAAATGAAACTGCCAAGATCACATTCCCTTCATATAAATCTTTGATGTGCCTGCACTTTGAATATTGTGTACAGTTTTGGTTGCTGCATCTGAACAAGGGGCATTACTGAGTTGAAAAAAGTACAGAGGAGGACTACTAAAACAGAACAACTCTTATCTGAGCAACAATTAAAATTAATTTCTTGGGACACAGAAGAGAGGAAGCTTCAAGAAATTTAGTGGGATCATGTGGAAGCAAGGCAGCAAGGACAAAAGAATTAGTAAGCTTTTGGAGAGAGCCTGGAAGAACCTGGCTGGCCATGGGCAAATCCAGAAAATCTGTTTATTTCTTCATTTCCCAAACCGAGCTACCTGCCAAACTACAATTTTACTGGCATTCAGATATTTGTTGAACTATTTAATTCAGCATGCAAAAGGTGACAAGTGTGTGTGCTACATAGACCTTTCCCATGGCATCATTCACGGAGCAACCTGGAAGGCTGCTGCCTGTCTAATTCATGCATATAGGCCTACCCATGAGCTTAACTCTATAACATTTCCCTAATGCCATGGTACTGCAACGCCTGGAGCGGCGGGGGGGGGGGGGATGATACACAGGATGACCTCAATACCCAATTGCATATTGAGGTTTGTAGTTTAAATAATGAAAATATGGCCACAGTCTTATCCTTGGTTGGCAAATCTGTACGTACATGCACCCATCAATACAATAAAACACTACAACACAAGGCAGAACAAGCATGCATACACAGAAGAAAATGTTGAAAATGTGGATACAATGTAAGCATAGAGCGAAACATCATGAAATACCATATATGCCTGTTTTCCTCACTGTGCTATGTAAATTTAGCACCTGCAGTATGAGATAAACCTAAGGAGCTGCCTGATTCCTGACCAAGACCAAGAAGCTTTTTTTCAAGCTGACATCATGTTTTCTTTTCTTCTGTGTCTAGGTCTTGTGGTCTTGAAGCATAAGAAACATGTTCACATAATGACCCTCATTAGCTGTTAATTATGTACCTGCCATGAGCTTCCCAGCTCTGTTTTGTTATCACACCCCTGGCCTGCATTTGGAAAGGTGGTATTACAGAATAAACATGAGTTTCTCAGCATGGGTTTTTCAGTCCTGTCCAAAGGTAACAGGGAAATTTCCAAGAAGAAGAATGAGCTGAAAATTCAAATGGTGTAAGCTGGGCCCCTTTACAGATGTAGGAAAATATCTCCTCCTTTTTCCATCTTGCTTTGACTGGATGTACTCATTGCTAGAACAAGAGTGTCCTCCAGACATAATTACATTAATATTGGCATGTTTCAGGCTTGTCTTTCATCCTAAGCCTACTGGGTGAAAGGCTGTGAATTTGAAAGAGCTTTTTAAAAAATCCATAAGCCTGAAGGGACCTTTTTTGGGTTTTATTTTCTTAATGTTGAAACCTCAGGCATAGGAGTAGATCCAGCACTCATTATGTTTCAGTTTTTCAGTAGTGTATCTGGAAATGTCTTCTAAAATCAGCTATTTTAATACAAGAAATCTACAATGTTTTTACAGCATAAGCTTGTTTCTGAGAATATCATTCTCCATCAAGTGAAATAGCTCGAAAATCACAGTAGCTTTAAGGTTTTCTTTATGACCAACCGGTGAGTTTATTTGAGCTAGTTTGTGGGAACATCTTATAGTTAGTCAGTCTAAACCAGACCACTATTAATCACTGTTGGAATTTGAATTCCACCAATTACAATTGTATGGTGGTTTGGGAGGGAATTCATACCAGCGTTTTTCATTTAACAAAGTGCATTGGCTTAACAAATGGTTTTCTGAAAGATTTCATGTCATTGGACCTGATTTCATCAGACTTAAAGTAAAGCCCAAAAGATGGTAAATGTATTTCCATGCCATAGAAAGACACAAATGAATGCTTGCTGGGTTTGACTGTGTTTCGTGCCTTGCATTCTTTGTTATTTTCTCATAATGCACTGCTAATTTAGGGGAAATCATTGTGAATGTTTGATATTCTTATGCAAGATGGGACAAGGCAGATGCTTTTGGCCATGCTAAGAAGGATAAAATAATTTATGATTGTTCGTTGGCATTCAGCCATTTTTGATGTGTTCTGTGTCATAACTTGGAAGTGGTCATCAGTACTGAGGAGGAGCTGAGAACTGCAGCCAAAGTTAGTTTCCACAGTGGGAAAAGATAGAAAAGTTATAACTGGGAAATCCCAAACTTCCTTGCCATTTACTAGTTTTTGAACGTTCCTCACTTTTTTTTCCAATAACAGTGAGGGAACTTTCTGAATACTTTTCTTCAGTATTTGACTAACATTGGGTTCGGGTATATTAGGCTAAAGGGACATGCCACACAGTCTCCTAAACTAGAGAATCAATCCATGATTTGGATGCTTGGTCATATAAATTGTTGGACTGAACTGAGATATATTCTATGTTCATTCTGATAAATTTGTATATGTTTTGGCTGATCATAGCACTAATTATTAACCAAGATGAAAGAGGAAATGGATGCTACCAGAGAACATCACTGGTGGTGCCAGAGATTGAAGAAAGGCTGGAGTAGCATCAGTCTATACAGTGCAGGTGTCCTGCTTGGGGAGTGGTAACTGCTACCATTCATCTTAGTAAGATGAACCTGAGTTCTAGCATTAGTAGACTCATTCTTGCCCAGTAGAAAGAGTTAAGGATGCTTTGAATAATTTAAAAGGAGGTGTCAGAAAACCAAGCTCCTCGGTTTCTTTACTTATGTGTAAGTGTGAGTCAAGCAGGGTACTTCTGGCCTCCTCTTTCCCCTTCCTGTACCCTCAATTTTTATCCTCAGTAGGAGCAGCCTTCATTCCAAGCTGGAAGGTTGGGACCCCAAGACCCAGCATTTCTAGTAGGACAGTAACTGGATCAAGACAACATGTCTAACTCATCTTGTCTTCTCTCTTCCCCCAACCCCCATTCTCTCTCTGTGTTAAACTAAAATGGAATGTTCATACATGAATCTCAGCAAAGTTTCCATAGCTTACACTGTTCACTAAAGTTATATGTACTGTTGAATCTGTTACCTAAACTGTACCGGTGCAAATGTGAGTAAGTAGACATCTCTCTTTGGCACAGTATAGTTATGGTCTGATTTCATTTCTTTGTTCCTCCTCTTTTCTTCCAGGTTTCCTAAGCAGAATGATTTCTTTAGTAGAAGTGTTCAGTTGTATAAAGGAGTTTAATATGCAAATGTTTGTGCTTACTGTTGACTCTGCCCACAGGCATTCTTCTGGAAGTCATTATAGTTTGGAAAAGAAAGAAGGAACTCCTTTTGAAAAGTTTCTAGATGAGTTCTCACAGCAGAGGACTGGGAAGAAGGGAGGAAAAAAAAATCCGAAAGTCACTTTTTAAAGGCAGTTAGTTAAACTGGACTCATAAGTTCTTCCTTTGCAAGCTTAGGAACAAAGGGAACTCCCTTATGCTGACTCAACCCATTGACCTACCTATCCCGATAGTGTCAACACTGATTGATACTTTTCCAGTCCATCCTGGGAATTGAACCTAGCAGCTTCTGCATGCAGTGCAGCTGGTCTGTCACAGAACCACATCTCCTCGTTTCATGTCCAGTTCCAAGCCAGTTAAGCTTTCCTGGGAGCCTGAGAGTAAACTTGTTCTGAACACGGCCCTGCTGGATGGGAGGATTGTTCCTAAGTCATCGCCAAGTAGAACAGCCAGGACAGCAAGCCCTACTCCTGACTAATATGTATTTTGCTGGTCAATGAGCAGACCATATTCACATGCTATAGACCTGGGTGTGACTCCAATATTCTAGTCCAATCCCCTGACAAACCAGGAAATCTATTCCTACAGGACCCCTGCGTGGTGAATATCCACCCTTTGCTTAATAACCTCCTTCAAAGGTGACTCCTCCACATTCTGAGGTAGTTAGTTCCACTGTCGTAAGAGCTTGTATCACCAGGAAATTCTTCCTAATGTTTTTTGGTTTGTTTTAGGTACTCTGAACCCATTGGATAGAGTCTGATCCTCAGGAGCAAAAGCAAGGCTCCTATTCACATGGGGAATCCTATGCACATGCAAACTTTTCATGAACATGGTTGTTTCCATGACTGAAGACCATGCTCTTTGTGTAGTTTCCAAACTCTTGTACAAACAGGCTGCTTAATGTTCAGCTTGTGTAAATGTAGAGTCAGTTCAGATTATGCAATTGAATATGCATAACCTGATGCTATGCTAGCTGCTCCCCCATCAGCATACCTTCCTTGTACCCAGTTACATTGCCAGAATAGCCCAGTGGGTCTTAATTTGTGCCTTACATTCAAGGTTCCTGGAGAAGGCCTGGCTTTAGGTTTGCTTGAATGAACCAAATAGGCACGCACAGAGGTTCTGACCACATCTGCATCTTATTCTTCCTCGGCCTCCAAGATGCATTCATAGGATATCCTTATTTTGTCCTCAGAACACGTCTGTGAGATAGATTAGACCAGGAAGTGACCTGCTGGTGACCACTCACTGAATGTCATGCCTGAAGGCAATGCAAACCCAGTCCAGGACATCACAGCCCAAACCCAGAGCTTTCTGTTCTACTGACTTCAGTAGTAACTGGCATTCAGACTTCATTTTCTGGTTTTTTAGCAGGGCTTTTAAAGAAGGCAGTGGACCCATTGTTACAGATTTGTTGCAATAATTGCCACCACCCCAACACTAAAATGAAAAACAATACCTTCCCTTGTTCAGAACCTAGGATATATAACTTTAATACAGTGTTTGGAAAAGTATATCCATTCTGTAGATATAAAGAGATGATGTGTATATGAGGAAATTTAAATGTTATACCCAGAATCCATAAATAAAAATGAACTTCTGCACTATAATGACTCATGGGTTTACAGCAACACCTTTTAAGGCTCTGTAAAAATGCCAAGCACCGCTTCAGTTTTTATGTAATACATTTTGACTATGAATGCTTCAGATGTAGTGAAATAGTAAAATGCACCCTAATGTTTATATCTAAATTATTAATCAATTCAAAAAATTATTGGTGTCTCTACACTAACAGTTTTGTGTTTTTTGTTAGGAAGCCTATATCTTTTATAGACCTTATACTAAGAGGAAATAAAACCTCTAGGCCATCTGCCATTTTGGAATGTTCATGGAGAATTACATGTTTGAAATCTCTGTAGTTGAAAAAGGAAAATCATTAAATACCTTCAGACTTCCATTTTTCAAAGAAAGCTACAATGCCATAGTGCAGGCTACTACTTCAAGATGGCATTTCATTCATTCATTCATTCATTCATTCTATGAGTTGTCCTACAGCTAAAGCACTCAGAGTTAAACACACAATACAAATAAATAAGCAGAACAATAGGGCAATCCGAGGAACCCAGAAAGCATCAGAAAATCTCTCGGAGCTTGGAACAGGAAATCCATACTCAGATCCTTCTTGTTGTTAATAATTCTCCAAGTTTGGAGGGTTGCAGGCAGCCTCATTGGATTGTGCCAAAAATATTTTTTGAAAAGTTTTAAAAGTAACCACAACAATATAAAATACTTTAAAAAGAAAAAAAAATCAAAATGTAAAATATCATTTTAAAATGCAGCATTAAATATAGCATTAAAATGAAATGGGCAGCAATTAAAGAATTTTGAAGTGACCTGGGACACTAAAAATGGTTTTCAAGGGGGCTAGGAGCTCCACTCTCCTACACTCCAAGTTATAGGTTATAGGAAGCTATTGAAACATATTCTCTTAACATTTTTGTATAAACAAAAAAAGGAGGGGCAGTAACGAAGTAAAAAGAGAGGAAGCAAGTTGTCAGAAAGGAACTCAAAGCGAAAGATTTATTGGAAGATATAATATGCCAAACATGTTTCTGCATATTGTCATCCTCAGAGGGGAAAAAAGATCAGATTCCACTCATCACTGTGGTTTATTCAGACCCTGAACAATCAGCTAGAAATTGGCTACAATGTGCAAAGTAGTGGGGACTCAATCTGACTAAGGTTAGTTTTGTCCAATACTAATCCAAAGCAATGGGGCAAGTTTATTGTATTTCACACACACACACACACACACACACACACACACACACACACGGATTTGAAATGGCTGCATATCATAGACTCTTTTCTGGCAGAAAAGCTGTTTATAAATGTTACAAGGAATAACTGAAAAAGTAAAATACTCATAGTTTGTAGACAGCTTTAAGCTTTGTCTTACAAGTATTTATGTTTTTGTCATCCTGAGGCTCTATAAAGGGCGAAATATAAAATTTCTAAATAAATAAAATGCTCTACCACGTGGTAAAAGACCATCTACCAGGGGAGCACCACAGGTGAAAGGAACACTGACATTTTAGGTCCTATGGTATTTATTTATTTATTTATTTATTTATTATTAAAAGCGTTTCTATCCCATTCTCTACAGAACATCTTGGGATAGCTTACAATAAATAAAGTAGTTTAAAATAGTTTAAAGTGCTTTAAAATAGAGTTGAAATGGTAGTTTTACAGTAATCTGCATAGTATAAATGACAGGAAGCCATTGAAATGTGCTAAGTTCCAAGCTTCATGTTTGCTTCTTGTTAGCAGAGTTGAATTATTGGCTGATATACAGATGCTGCTCAGCAGTGCATTCTTATCAGGGCTATCCATCATGTGAGGACAGACAATATGCATTTCATTATTTCATATTCCAATTTTATAGCTGCCTTCAGAAAACAATCCTTTGTATTTATTAAAAGGCTCTCCTTAGGGGCCTTTTCATTATTATCTGGGCAGTCTTAACCGCTTTTAAGGTAGCACTTGAGCTTTGAACTTCATGACAACAATAATTTTCCCCCATGACTGTGTGCCAGCCACTTTGCAGTTTTTGCAGTTGTTTCAGGTCACTTTCCTGAAATAAGTAATTCAGCCAGTATTTTTGAGGTTACCAAGACAAACTACATCCACACAAAGCTCTTCTGTATTTGATCCCCCAAATCCACTTGGATCTAACCTTTTTCTTTCTTTTTTTGTAGTTTTAACATATGTGCCCCCTTTCTTTAAGATACTACATGGACCCTACTCCAGCAAAAAACTTTTGTGGAATTAGTGGTACAATTTAGCTGTGATGAAACCAAATCCTATTGATTTCAATGAGACTTGTTCAAGCTAGAAGTAATGGGAAGCAAGGGGTATTTTATCTTAGGGCAACAACTTTTTACATGAAAAGGAACATGCAAGAGAATAGAACCAAGCCATTGCTCAGCCCCACTATGTTCCATTACTTCAATCCAGTGTTTTCCCCGTCTAGTTCAGTTCCAATATCTGAGTTTGGGGCGCATGGAGAGCAGCTTGTTTGAGCCGAATGCCCAGTCGTGTGTGATCTAGAGAGTCCCATCTAGTTCTGTGAGTTTATGACTCTGTAATTTAATAATGGTTAACAGAGTAAATGGGTGAGCTTTAATTGTCCAGAACAGGGTGCCATTTTCAACCATTAGGATACCAGAGGGCTTAAAGAAACTTTTAGCTTAGTTTCATTTCTGCTCCCTTTTCCTGTGGAATGTTAAATGATAGCACAGTTGTCCAAGATTTACATGACATAGACTGGAAGGTCAATTTTTTTTTTTTTTTTATAATTCCACATGGAATGGGGGATCTGGCATCTCATGTAGAATTTCCTTTTTGCTTTTTTGTTTGCACTAATAGCTGAAGTTAGGCATTTGAAAAACCCACAGATAGTGGCTATTGTCCAAACAGCTGTATAGGCAAATTTAATGGTCGTAGTTCTCTCTGGTGAAGAAGTATAACTTGGGTACTATCCAGATTAGGATACTTTCTGCTTTTAACAGAGCAAGAGCCTGCTATGGTGAGGAAATCTAAGAAAGGCCTGGTTTCATGAGCAGATGTTGAATTCTTGAGAAGGTGTTTACCTGTGTTGGTTAGAGCTTCTGCCTTCAGTGTGATTATCCACCAATCCTTTGTGATGTCCACCAGTTTGCCATTATTTTTCCATTCCTTAGTAAAATTCACTTTTCCAGACCATGCTTTCTTGCCCTAGGCTACTTGCTCAAATCTGAAGATAAGAGAGGCCAAAGAATAAAGTCTAGAAGGGACACAGACACATTGAAAAATCAGCACATGTACATAAGTGTCCATGTTCTGCTTGGTTATTTGGTTATTTACTTTTAAAAAATCTGAATACTCTTTAGACAGGTCACCTTGGCATTGAATGTTGCTGCAGGGTTGGCTGACACAGCCAATTGGTAGCCCGAAATATCATTCTGTTGTACTTAACTTAAGAGTTTTGTCCTTCTTTGTTGCAGACACTGAAACCTGTGATTATGGGTGGCACAAGTTCCAGGGCCAGTGCTACAAATACTTTGCTCATCGCCGCACATGGGACGCAGCAGAGAGAGAGTGCCGCCTCCAGGGGGCCCATCTGACGAGCATCCTGTCTCATGAGGAGCAGCTCTTTGTGAACCGTATGTGGCATTTCAATTCAATGATATGCCTAAGACTGCATAGGGAATGAAATGGTTGTAAGCACCAGGCCTCTAAATGTTTTCTAAAATGTGAGTTAGCATTTATCCCTTCCAAGGGAAATCATTTGTCCTTGATGGCTACTTTAGTCCCTTCATATGGTCTGTCATACTCATTAGCTGGGGTGGGAGAAACTGCTGAACTTTGAAGGAAATAATATTTTACAAGAGTAAAGAACTGAATTCATGAACATTACATGTGAAGAAAACTGAAGTGAGGTGTTTGGAAACAGGATGAGGTTCCTTTTCTTAGACCATCTTATGTCCAGGTGCTTTAAAAAATATGGCCCCTCACAGACTCAGCAGCGTCAGTCACTTTATGCTCTGTTACAAGGAGTTGACATTTCAAGTGGGTTTTGAAAACACAGGGTATCATTCCAGACTAATGCACGTAAGTCTTCATTAGCTATTTTAACACCTGAGTAAGAGTCAGTCCCTAGTAATATTAGTGGAAAAAAACACATCTTCATTCTTGCTGTCAAGTTTGCCTTTCCTTCTGAGAAGCTGCTAGATTGTTGATTGTCTGCCAAGTACTTTGGCACATCTCTGCTTTTAACATATTTTTGAAAACAGTCTTAGGAGGACATCACCTTGAAAAGATCAGTGCTATGGCACTGCAGAACATTACAGCTAAATGAGAGATAGGATATCGATTTGGAAATAGGATGGTGGCCATTTCTGTTGTTTGTGATCTCAGTTTCTCTTTTTTCCCACTGAATTGCAAATGAATTAACAAGGAATTTAACAAGGAGTTAAAATTAATCCCTGGGGCACAATTGTACTTTAAGCAGGACTTCAGTTGTGCACACAGAGATCCCTATACACAGGTGAGGCTTAGTTTTTACCTACGTCAGGGAATTCTGAATGCCCACTGCATTCTGGATTTTATTATACCTAAATAAATGATACAATGAGGGTTTGCTACTGTGTACACTCCACCACCTCCAATGTCAACAGAACAGCGCAGACTTACACCTCGGAGCACGCAATCTGCATCGGGCAGTCACATGCGCAATAAGGGGGTGGATCACAGTAAGTGCATTATGGGAGGAGTCTGGACTATCCCATTTCAAAGCGTGTATAACAGAGCTGGGAAAGCAATAGCAGACGGCAACAGTAATGAGCAGGAAGTATGTTCCTAATTAAGCTAGCTTGTAGCCCCACTGTATGCAATACAGGATTGGACCTGGTCCATGTTAGATGGGTGACTGTCACAGAACCCCAAAGAACTCCCCTTGAGTTCTAGGATAGAAGACATGTTCAATATGAATGCAATCAATACATGCGTCCATGTCTATGAATGAATTATTGGTCTTATACAAGAAAACCATTGTTAAGTTGAAATTATTTAAATGTAATAATGTTCCAGAGCAGTCTAGTTCAAATAATTGTAACTGCCAAACATTTTATATGGCTATCTGAAAAGCAGTTATACTTTTATTTACAGCAGTCAACTGAAAAATTTGAGATAAGTTAAAAATATAGTTTCTGAAAACAGTTTTATAAATATCATGAGCTTTCAAAAAAGGGATAGGGTGGGGGAGAGCTCTACAAGTATTCATTTGTCTTCTGAGTTAAAAAAAGAAAGCACAGGAAGCCTGATTCAGTCGATGAAAATGCTTTCATTTTCAGACAATTCCCTTTTATGGAAAAGTTAGCAAAACTATTTCGCTTTTTCATTTCCCCCCTAGGTATAGGACATGACTACCAGTGGATTGGTCTAAATGATAAAATGTATGAAAGTGACTTCCGCTGGACTGATGGCAGTGTTCTGGTAAGGCACCTAAAGATTTTAGAGGCTGTAGCATTGCTTTTGAAGAAAAGAAACAGGTCAGGCTTCAGGAACAATGAAGAAACATGTTTCCTAGCAAGCAACTCTCTAGAGCAGTTACTTTAGTTTGGTAAAACAAAAACAGTCAAGTGTTTAAGGTGGTGGTTGTGGTCATGCATAAGATGAGATAAGAATGTCAAGGCCATTCTGGAATTGAGCTTCATGTAGTGAGCTTCAGACAATTTTACAGAACTTTCCTTATTTCTGGTCCACTCAACCTCTCACAATTTCTTCATATTCCAGCTTGAAACCTGTCTCTTCTCTGAAGCCTTTAGAATGTTATCCTATAGTGTTTATTCAGAAGTCAATCTTATAAAAAAAACCCAGGAATTTCTGTCAGGGAAGTTGGTAAAGGATTGCTGCTCCCTCCTCATCCTTAAACTAAACTTTAAAAAAATCCTAAGCATAAATAACAGCATTTATAATTGGGGACATAAGTTAGTTGGTGACAGCTGCTTACTTGGAATTTAGAAAGTGGTCTAGACACATCCAATCACAGATGCTTGAAGCTAGCCTTTCCCAATGCGGTGCTGTCCAGATGCTTTGGATTATATCTCCCAGCATTCCTGGCAATTTCCCCCGCTAGTACTGATGACAGTTAACAGGAGGAAGCTAGGCTAGGCAAGGTTGCATTAGACACTTTCTCAGCCAAGGCGATCGGTCCAGATGAGCCCTTAGCCCCTGAAAACTCACTCTGTCTATGAATCAACCTAGAGCCGAACAGCAAGTTCTAGCATCAATGAAACTCATAGTCCCAGCATGAACCAGCTGCTTCAAATGGTTCAAACAATTTATATTTTGCAATTTACCAGGATACCTTGCCAAAGAAAGCAGCTTGTTGTCCATCTCCTAACAAGTCCTAGATGGCTAGACAGGCCCTAGATGTGTTCGGGTCTTTAACAGAGAGTTTCTTCCTGGATCAAAAACAGCACTGGTGGAGGCCAAGCTCCCCTGGGCTTGATCTGCGAAGGCCTGTCTTACCTAAGCTTTAGGGTATGAAGGCTGCGTTAACTGGAGTTAAATGCACTACATTCTAGCCACTGCCTGAGGTGTGTTCTGTCTTGCAGTCCAAAATCATTATGTCTTCCTTTTCTTTCTAACTAGACTGGGGCACTGTCCTACCTAAGTGCAGATGTCACAGACAAAATGCTCTGTTGCATTACAGAGTATAAAAGTGAAGCAAACAAAGTACACCTTCAGCTCACTCAGCTGCCCTTTTCCTTTTAAAATATGGCTTTGTTTCATCCAAATCAGAGTATACCCTCCTGTACGCGACTGTCAGACAATTTATAGTCCATTGAATGTACGTTGATACCATGGCTATGGTTATTATTTGCCTTCTGGTGCTAAGAATCCAGAGAAACATCTGTTTCTTCTGTTGCAGACATACAGGCTTGTATTACTTCTGCACATCACATGTGCCAGCTTCAGAAAGAAGTTACTGAAGAATCTTGTCTTGAACAATTACCACAGTCTTTATCAATGGCTGGGTTTTTGCTTTAAAAGGCTCCTCCTTAAGAGCTACTATTTGCTGCAGATGACAGTACAGAAAATGAAAAAGGTGGCAAACTCTTTTTACGTCTCTTGTGTGCTTCAGGACTGAGATAACTTTATGGCTGGAACAAATATGTTTTAATGGGCATTGAAGCACAGTTTCACTTGAAGCATTGCAGGAAGGAGCTTGCTACCACCCAGGACAACTTGCCACTATTCCATTTTCATTTCTGGAAGCCTAACACATCCTTGGAAGCAATAAGAACTTAATATTGCTCTCCATTTAATCCCATTCATATTTTTCCTACCTTTTCATAATGGAATACATTCTAGTGCCCTGAATATTGTGTTTGCAAGATAAGCCTGCCTTCAAACTAGCCAATATTAAGCATGTGATAAACTTTAATATTGGAGAGCCAAGACCCATATAAAACCAATTTCTAAACTTCAGGAAATGAAATCCTAACTCAGGTTCATGGACAAACCTGGGTGTTAGATTTTCGTTTCCTCTCTGGGATGAAGAAAGAATGCATTTTGTGAACAGGACAAAGCCATCTGACTGACTGATCTGTTTTTCAGATTTTCCTGTTGTTTTTTCAAATATTTGCTCCATTTCTTTTGTTGTCCCCCCCTTTTTGCAAATGAACTATGTCTCTTCAACTCATTTTAACTCATTGTTTCAACAGCTTTGCACAGCACTCCTTTGCACACTGAAGAGTATTCATTTTCACTTGCAATTCACCTCCACTTCCATTCTATTTCACACCTTACCTTTGATTTCAAATTTTGATTACCCAATTTAGCCATCTGAATTTCAACCATTAATGCATTGTTACATATTTAGAGTTAGCACAGCATATCATGCCTATATGAATGTTACATTGCAAAACCAAAAAAGCTTCAGTTGCTACCACAGATGTGCCAGGTTCTCCACAGACTATGTTTGGACTCTTAAAAGTGTGGGAATTTTCAGAAATGATAATACACCCACTTTAAGGAACTGTTCCCAGCAGGAACCATTACTTCATGCAAATGTGAATTTACCACTAGCTGGACCTATCCAGTTAACCCCACCCTTTTAACTTTTCTTAGCCAGGAAGGGCAAGAATGATGACAGAGCACGCTTGGCTGCTCACCTTCGCCATGTCATTGGGCTGCAGTAATTGAGATTTATCTTGTAAGATTGGGCAGAGAAAATCTCAACCTCAGTAAAGATCTTCTTTGGAGCAGAAACACAGCATATTCTTGGGAGGAAACGTAGCTCTTTTACAAGTAGGATGGTAGGAAGGAGAAAGGTAGTTGAGAAGTTGGGCCATGGGGTGGAAATGTGGGTCGAAGTGAGTGACAGCTTGGCAGCATGAACTCGGGGGGGTCTCAGCAGATGAAGCAACAAAGGCAGGAGTGAGGGTGAGTGCAAACAGCTGTGCCGATGGTGTTGGAAGCCAGGGTGATCGCTGCAACGTAAGTCACAGTCTTGGAAGGTGGGCAGCATGAGGGAGAGGTGTTATGTAGCGAGAGGTGCTTCCAAGTGGGGAGGAGAATGAATTAACTAGCATAGGCAAAGAGAGCAGGACACAAATAGAAAGCACAGAAGGGCATGCACAGCTTTGCAGATTTTATTAGAAATATAAATATGGGAAAGAATGGGTGGTGGCGGTGGCGAGATGTCTTGGTGAGGGGAGGCGGCGAAGCAAAAGCATGACCTAAGCACACAGTGGACCAATGATAAAAAGGCTGCTGAACGAGGGAAGGAGTAAAGCATCATGGGAATTGGAGTCAACTGTGAATGAAGGATGGTGGGAGGACCAGGCAGGGGGAGAAGGGAGTGAATAAACCACAGCAGATCTGATTGGCTTTTCAGCAAATCTTAGGTTATTGTCCAGACAATGCACACTGTGCAGTTTAATCACAGGAAGGGGTAGCATGTCATCGAAACTCTCTCAGTGAAAGTTGTCTCTGAAGGAGAAAGAAGATACAGACTTCTATCAAACTTGGGACTCTTTTTATCGTTGGCTAGAGAAACGGGACTATGCATAGACTTAAATATGTTTATAGTTTAATATAAAAAGAAAAAAGGTGGGATGCTGACCCAATAGGTCTGATGTTATCGATGACTGATGCTTTTTAGGTCTTTTTTTTTTGATTAGGTATATATTAAGAATAAAACTTATTCAAAAACAAACAAACAAACAAAACCTCTTTCAGTGAAAGCTTTCACAATTGCTTTAGACCTAAACACTTGTACAAACTCTGGGAACTGTGGTTTGTTTCAACTGTGGCTTCAAATTCTGGCTTACTTACATTTGGCTTCTCTAACTGAGGTAAGTAAGTGAAGCATAAGTATTCGCTTTTCTCTAGGGCTTAGGTTCATTGAGTTTCCCCAGATTCTTCCACAAAGCTCATTTTGCCTCATTTACATTCCCCAAAGCACAGATTTATTTATTTATTTTGCCCTTTGGGGAAAAATGAGCATTTTTTAAAATGCTCAATTATTTCCAGTTGTAAAAAGGCACATTTAAAAAAAAAATCATGTTTTTCCAAACAAAGTCTGTAGTTCCAAGTCAATATGAATTTGGGGGGTGAGCAGATTTGCTCAAATGCACACTTGTGCAAATGTGCATTTTCAGAAGTGTGCATTTGTACAGAAATGCACTTTTGAATATGAATTCAAGTTAAGGATATTATAAAAGTTTCCCGAGAATTATTTCTTTGCTTGTGTTCATGTTCAGGGTTGCCAAAGGACGTAATTATGTTTTACAAGCAGGAATGACATTCATGTACATATCAACTTCCCTCCTCTTGCATATGGAAGAAAGTTAGAGAAAGTAAGGTCAATTTCACTATGTTTTTTCCTAATGACTTAATCAGGAAACCTGTCACAATCCAAATGTTACTTGACTAGAACTCCCATCATTCCTGATCATTAGACATCTAGCTGGGCATAATGGGAGCTGGAATCTAACAACATGACCTAAACTGTGGTTCTATTTCTCGACCTAAACTATTGTTTAGGTGATTATATGAACAAAGTTATTATTATTGCTATATTATTTCATTTAAACTTAGATATTCACAGACATGTTTTGAGCATGTCCCCTAGTCATGTGGGAAGAGTTTGATGATAAATGCTCATGTTAATAAGCAAGCCTGAAATTACATTTACTGCTAAAAATATTAATGACTTAATGATCTGGCAAAAGGTTCCTAGAAGCTGGAATTCAGTACCTCAAATTACACTAGTTGCAAATCTCCCACTCCTTGCTTTTGACTGCCTTTTACGTACTTAATATGTCTTTGAAAATCAGTTGGTCTGAGCACTCAGTTGATCATGTGAAATTAATGAAATTTGCAGGTGCTTAAAATACATGAAAAGTGAGTCATATATTGAAGTATTATTCTGGTGATTTTCACTAAGTTGTGCTCTATGTTCAGAAGTTAATTACATGGTT